CGACGCCGATTTCGGACATGCTGCGACACAAGGAGTCCAGTTTCAAGAAAGCACGCAACCGACGAGTTCCGAAGGGTCCAGAACAAGCCGCAGCCACTGGAGGAATGGTCGAGAGCCTCCCCACTTATCCACTTCTCGTTCTTCCCGACAGTCACGAGCCGTCTATCCTCACGGTTGCCAACACTCCGGTGGCAGGACGCAGGGAGGGGAGAACCGTGAGGAGCCAGCAGGTTACGCCAGTATGAGACTCTCGTGGACAAAGGAGGTGCTTGCGTGCAACGGTCGGGAGGTTCTTGGAATGTTGCATGTACGGGCTGGAGCACTTCAAGGTTTGCCTTCAACATCGTCAGATTACCCTCGTCACGGACTGCGCTGCGCTGATGTGGCTTTCATAAGCCAAATTCTGTGTCTAAGATGCACCGATGGGCGCTAAAGATGATGGCGGTCAACATGGTCCTCAAGTGGCGTAAGGGAATAGACTAGCATTCGAATGAACGGACTTGATTCGCCAATCTCTGGACTATCAGTCATGTCAGTAGATCGTCGGCGAGGTCAAGCCCGAGGTCCTGCTGGGAAACTCGTGCGGCAACGCTGATGACCAGGACTTGGGGGCAATGACGTCGCGCAAGGCAGACGCCATCGCACAGATTTTCGTTTCTTCCGGCGTCAAAACTCCTCATGATGGGACGGCTAGGTTGGACTCGCGGGATTGGACGGTTGGAAAAACACTTTAGCTGTCTACAGCCGGAGTTGCGTCTAGCGGAATGTGAAACGGCAACCGCACATTTGTCTGCAAAGTCTGTAGGAGCACCTACGGCCAAGCGGCGAGTGTTAGTGCTTGTTGTCGCAGAGAAGGGGAACGGAGACAGCATCCTGAGGGCCAAGCTTTCAAAATTGAAGAACATGTGGAGGTAACTGCGCCTTCAGCTCCGACGGTTGGCGCCTTCCTAGGGTGACCAGGTTTTGAAGCGAGGACATAAACCAGGAAGACCTTCCCATTTTCCGAGCACATCAATCATCGGCCGCAAGAAAAAGACGGCGACTTTCACAGTACACCCGACGGATACGGTCCCGCTCCACGAAGCCCAAGAGCTGTCGTGGGATCACTACGTAGAGCTTACCACAGCTCAGGACACCGACACTCCTCCGACACGACGGTTGTCATTCAGAGGAACACCTGATTTGCATGACCAATAATGGCGTGCGACGTCTCGCATAACCAATTTCGATTGATTGTGTTGGCGGTAGGCCATTGTGTTTTTGAAAAGCACCGGACCCGTGCCTGTGTCTACTATGGCCGCACTGGACGGTTCATGAATATTAGCCTGCAAAACAAATTTAAGTCTTCTTTTATGCAGATGCATTTCGGCATGAATATCAACCTAATAGTATGGATTTTCTCAAGGGGCCCATTTGGAGAAACAGAATCCCCTCAACGTTCTTCACCTTCCATCTCTATCCCGATACTTCATTGCTTCTCAAAGGCACCATGACTGTCCCCTAGACCCGTCCCTTCGACTACAAATTGGCATTCCTAAGTTCTTTCGGACACGATTTTCCATCGTGCCCAATCACGCGGGCTAAGCTACTGCTTGGCACACACGGCCAAACCAACCGAATCCACCGCTTCCCCAACCGAATCCACCGCTTCTTGACGCCTTAGTCGGCAGTGTCGAAATGTTCTTGTGCGTATGCAAGCGTGATTTTTTCATCCAATTTATGCTGTGGATGTCGGTCCTTAAACCATCCGGTTAAGTTGTGGAAGCACCAGCCGGGGTTGCACGGGAAGAAAGCCACACAGGAGTTTCTTCGCACTCCTTGTACGAGGCTTGCCTTGATCTTTACCTCGAGACGTATCCAGCCGTCCCTTTCCTCGTCGCTCTCGAAGTCCAATTTCAGCCCACATTTTGTGCATGTTGTGAAGAAAAATCTCAGTCCTTTGTGGTTGCACCGAGATTCGAACCCACGTCCAAACGTTAGAAGGTTGCGAGGTGGAGCCACGTCTCGTATAGCCTGGTTTTGTCACCGCAATTTGCGTATCTGCGGGTTTGTATCACTTCACGCAGGCCTCACGTGATACACTGCATGCTCGCGGCCGGTCATTTTTTCAGTCGACGAGACATGTACGATGCCATGAGAGGGGTGTACAATTCCGTTTTCCCCATGGGATACTCCCAAGTTCCACCCTACGAAGAGTGGAGGTCGGTTAGTCAGGTCTGCGGGAACATCTTGTGCAGTAATGCTTCTGAACTGTCATCTGCACGATTGTGAAAAGGAGCTTGTTTTCTCATCGCCGATGGGTTGACGCAGGAAGCCGTTAGGCGTGACCGCCTGTTGAGCGATCGAAAAGCATGACGCCCGTTGTTGCTCTTTTTATACATACCACTTCGTTTGAATCATTGCGGGTCCCCATAGGCAGTGATATGCCGCTACAACTGCGGCCCTGTACGCCCTCGGCTCCGCGCGATGTATTTTTACGTGTACCAATGGCCCGCATGGATTTTCATACGTTTACGGACTTGGTCCCTACCCCGGTTTCAGACTATTTAGGTGTTCGCCTGTTGCGTCCGTCTCGCTTCGCCCGCACCTATTCCCACCCCGGACGAAAGGTCGTTGCTTCTGGACTATCGCCCGGCTTGATGGAGTCTTCCTACAGCGGAGCAGAAACTCGAAGCAGTGACTCGCCGCCAGCGCCGACAACAGCCACGGGTGCTACTGCTGTGCCATCGGTGTTCCCCGAAACCCGGCACGCCCGACGAAGCGTGTCACAAGACGGCGTTGGGGATGACGATGCGGCTGCTGATGCTGCTGGAGGCATGGGGTGGGAACCTGGGCTGGTGGAGATGAACGCGATGCTTATTTCCGAATCCGTATACCCTGAAGAGGCTTCAGAAGCCGACGTCCGGCCGCCCCAGGACAGCACTTCCGTTCGGCGGGTGACACTGCTGCTGCGAATGCGGTTGCTGCTGCAGCGGCACACACACACACACGGTCCAGCCTGTGGAGGAAGACGTGGTGCTCTGGGGGCGGGACATGGCCTTGACTGATGCGGATCTGCTGGATGCTGTGGCAGTTTTTGCAAGAGACGAAGGACTCCTGAGAGATGGATTGTAGTAGTGTCTTGGTTAGAGGAAGCTGTGATGGCTGGAGAAGATTTGATCTTTCTCTCCTATCTGCTGCTATCTGATGGAGATGGCTTATGTCCAAGAGTTATTTGTACGCGATTCACACAACGTTCGGGGAGTGATATTTGGCCACACGGTGGTGAAAATCTAGGTTTTGAATATCACGGGGATCGAGGAAATGGGGCATACGGTGGTAGGGAGTTGATGCACAAGAATGGCGTGGCTAACGTGTCGATGGGGGGCGCAACGCTTACGCCGGCTGGGCACCTGTGAGGCACCTGCCAGAGCCTCACGTCACGCAATATCTCCTGCCTCCCTTGTGGTTGGTCGCTTCCACACTCACTCCCGGCTTGCATCTGTCGAGTGCAGTGAAAACTGCGGTAAACGATGACCTGCACCAGGAGCTTGCCGCCCGCCGCCTGAAGTTTTTATCGATAGTGATCCTTGGACGGCAGGACCCATGTCAACCACTCGTGAGTAAGGTAGAGTCTCCATTGATACAACCGCACCTATCTACCTTGTGTACCACCAAGGGACACAAGGGCGCTCGAGTATACCCTCCAGCAAAATGCCGATATTGTATATTGTTGATGGGAAAGACGGGGATGTCCTGCCAATCAACACGCCGACACATCTAGTGGAAAGCTCTGCAACCAGACTACAGTACTGCTGAAAATGTAGCGCTGAACACAAGCTGGGACGAAGGCTGTTGTACATGTACATATTACATGCGTGCTGAAGTCGACACCCGGCCTGACAGGCGATCCAAATTCGACCGCCGCAACGACAGGCAGCTCGCGGTAGCCATAGGGGGCAGCCAGGAGCACCAAGCCCCGTTCGGTGTTTACCAACGAACCGGTAGCCACCCCAGCGAAAGAGATTTTCGTCTGTAGAGGACCCAGGAGATCTACAGTGCAACTACGGTTATAGCATACTGTAGAATGGACAACACTGCACGAAACGTACGGTGATCCCCGAATATCCATCTCGACGAGTATACGACTGCTGTGTAACCAATGTCGTCACTCGTGCGCCAGGGAATGCAGCCGTCCTACTTGTACACAGCATGCAGCAGTGCTCCAGACAGCCAGCCCCCGTCCGGCAGATGGCGTTTCAATCCGTTGTATGCATATGCCACTACAGTACTACACTGCTGTTGCACAAAATAGGGAACTGATATGGCACCCTGCCCTCGAGCGTTTCCCTTGTTGCTGCGAAACCCTTGTGTCCCTTCGCCAATTGATTGTGTCTGAATGCACTACTGTTTTCTTTCACAATGGAACAGGCTCTCTTGGGAATGTTGTTATTTTCGTGCATTGTATGCTTATGCCCAGGCCGAGAGCTCCCCGTCATCCATGGACACCCGGGCCCCCACAGCCCAATCCGTTCAAAATTCCTTGACTCCACGTAGGATGCATACCACCCGGTATCTTGAGCAGAGGGCTCCGATCATGCACCTTCACAACTGACCTCGGTTGATCGAGAGACGTTCTTGAGATCAGCAAAGCACATGTCGCGCAGTACTGGAATTTTCTTCCGTCGTCCCAGGTCCTACGGTCAGCTACGAACAGCGTTGTTTGTGAGGATACTGAGAACTGATAACTCTCGCGCTGCGTCCTTCACAGATCAAGTAACTGCTGCTGCTGTGTGTTCAGCCGGTTCAGCCGGTTCAGCCTCTGCCCAATCAAAACATCCAAACAGGTGAGGAACAGTTCCTGAAAAGGTTCTTGGGGTTACTGTATCGTCGTTGAAAATTTGCCCGCGTCCCCTCTACCAGCTCATCAGCTCCCTCTTTACCCTCGCAGCGTAGCGTAGCGTCTTGGTCTCTCTACCCGGGCCGTCTATGGAGGAAGAGGCCGCTGGAGGAACGGCCAAATGAATCGCTCCGGAGGCTTGGCTTCCGATGTCATGGTGGCCACGACACAAGAACCCACGGTGATGGAGGGGATGCAACGCCAACCCCAGTCAGCAGGGCAGCCAGCCTACACGGCAACACCTGCGGAGGCGGCGGTGGAGGCAGCCCCTCCGCGACAAACTTACAAGAGCTGCACCTTCTGTGCCAAACGGAAGCGTGCCTGCGATAGCCAGAGGCCTCGATGCAGGTACATCCGTAATGTTGTGTACTGATGAGGGCGGTTGGACTCTTGCTTGCCTTTGTCCAACTCTTCCCCTCCTTGGCTCTCCTGGACGGACACGCGCTTCTGTAAAAGTTCACGCTTTGAGTACCTACGGCAGGCTCTTTGACCTCGCCCGATCGGTAGGATTGAACAAGATACATATTGTGTTTGTTCGTTGCACGCATGCTTAGAGTCTCAACCGCCGCATGCTGCTATGCTGCTGCATACCTTCTCCATAACAATCAAACTCAATAGTGGAAGGATCTAGGATTGTGCGCACGCCGAGGTATGCAGCTGGCAGAAAGCCAGTACATGTACGTAGGACCTACGACGCACAAGATTATTTGCTGCGAACTTTTGCTCTCGAGGGTAATACCATCATCAGTCACACCGTCTTGGCTATGACACTCTAGGCAAGATCGTTGTGTAGAGTCGTAAATCCTTGCGAGGTACGCGACCCGCGCTCAGCGAAGACATGTACACCCCACGTGTCAACACGGATATGACATGTGGAGATGGACATTCGGCCGATAATAGGTGCACATAGGGACTTAGACATCGAATGTACCCAGCCGGGATGCCCTGGTTTCTAGTGGGGTCTCGCTCCTACGGCGCCACTACTTTGTTGAAACTGAAGCACGTGCCCACAAAAAGAGCGTTTTTCCGCTGCGATATACTCTCTGATTTTGACGCTCCTGGTCGTCCTCACGGTGGTCGCACGGAGTCACAAGTCCACTCGTTTGGACGATGAAGTCGCGAGGGACGTTACTGCGGTGTGCGTAGAACACGCGACATCTCGTTGGGTAGAAGAACGTTGCGGGAGCAGTATCAGCATACAACCGTTAGATGGGGATCGGGGTGTACAGACAATGTGCCTCGTCCTTCAGTTGGGCTGCGGACCTCCTCGCTTACCCCCCTCATACTTTCTCGCAATGCTGTATGCGGTGCAACCACTACTGTCATGTATTTTCCCCTCTTCCTTGCCTGCCTCTCCTTTTCACCCATCATGTGTGTTATTTTCCGTACCACAGCTGTCGTTCGGTTCCCACTTCTCCTTAGTCGGGTCTGCGTCATTTTTGTTCGATCCGCCCGCCGTACGTTACCTGGGTTCCACCCGCTAAGTGGGCAACATCCCTCTTCCCCTTCCGTAAACGTTTCCCCGTGTCCTGCCTGGCGGTGGGAAGCCTTTGCATCGAGAAGAAGCAGCCGTACTGCCACTACCCGTTGAAGCCGTTGCCGAAGCGGGCAGCAGCAAAGCCAGCGGCGGCGCGACGGCTGTCCTCCTCGTCCCCTTCGTCTTCCGACTGCTCCATTTCCTCGGGAGATGCCAGTAAGGCCAAGCGGCTGGCCGAAGCTCAAGAGGGTGCTTCGTATGACACGGGGGGCGTGCTAGCGACCGTCAACACCCGGAGCATGCCGACTGTGCGGGGTCGCATGTCTCTCAAGAGGTGCAGTTTGACGCTACATGTCCACATACTCCGAATACGTATCGCAGAGGATCTTCGAGTAGATACCTTACAGGACGCCGCATTTTCCCTTTGCAGTTCTTGGAAACCCTTTGGAGTTGCTTGTTCGAAAGCGCCGGTGTTTGGCATACGCTGGATCGGCTTTTTCTGGATGAGTTCATCCTTTTTGCTTGTTTGGGTGGGTTGGGATAGTCACTGACAGCTTTTGTAGGCATGACTCTCCCACTTTTGGAGTCTTGTCGAATTTGGTTTTCTCAAAATATCGTAGGGATATGTCGAGGATGACCCAGCACCAACGGTTTTCCCCTGAGCAATGATGGTAGGATTTTTTCCCCCTGTCGATTCAGACTTGCGATTCAGACGTGCCTGTGAAGCACTTTGCACGTGACTCATGTACAACGAGTGGGGTTCTTTCCGGACCAGGCGTGCAAGACGGTGGCGGCCACCGATGAACACGTCAGCCCTGGTGTAGTATTACCAGCACGTTAGAGAGATCGGGTTATGATTGGAGTTTGTGCAAGGGCTAGAGCCCCCTTACCGTACCCACGAAACATCTCAAAATGATCAACCCTCTCAACAGTGAGTTTTTGTTTTTTCTCGGACCGAAAAAGGTTTTGCGTCCTGCGATGAAATTTGGTATGCCACCGTCCTTGTTGTTGTCGCATCCAATACCGCACAAAACAAACAGGTGCCGGCTGAGCTCGTCGCCGGCTACAGGTCTCGTGGGCATGCCGGAGAACGGTTTCTTGTGCGACTTCTTCGGGTGCTTTGGTATCCTTCCCCTCACGACCGAGAGGTTAGTCCAAGCAAAAGATCCATTTTCCTCACCCATTCAGACCATCCATGCTGCTGTGGCGACATTTTGTGACCCGCGCTTGAGTCTTGATGGGTTGCTCTTCCACAGCGGCCGCCCGAGTGTTTCACGTATCTCCACATAAGCCGCCCTCGCTTCTGCCCAGCTACCATATGCCGGACCTCCCGAAAGAGATACGTGATTTTGTACCTTCGCTGCGGATGCTGTTGGCATAATGCGATTGGCATCCTGTTGATCACTCCAACATGAGCGGCCTCCTCGTCCCCCATCTCCATTCCCCGTGCTTCCGTGGATCCTTCCTGTTTTTGTAGCACTGTTCGCAACGCGATGGTGGAGGTCATGATGCGGCAGTGCGGCGGCCAGGCGTACTCCGGAACCGGTGGCTCCGGGATGGAAGGACTGGCCGAGGATGAGGAGAAGGACTGGCATGGGGGTGGGGCGTTGGCTCGTCGACATACTCTACCGGACCATCCAGCCAAGTGCATGATGTGGTGCGCCATCGCGCTGGGGGCGCTCATGAGGGGTATTTCGGTAGAGCATGTGAGTCGCGACCAAGTTGCGAGCAGCCGACAACCCGAACGGCGTTTAGCAGCATCCCCTAAAAGCAACCCGCCCCCTCCCAACTAATTGTTTTTTTAGTCGGGGGACAAGATGCATGTGTATTCATGTTCCCGCACGACTGGTATTTCCATTCCGGATTGGTACGCCCTGGGTGTGGGTTATCTTGAAGTCAATGTCTGCTGCACAGGGTTGGAAATACAGGCACTTGGGAATGTAGAGCCCTCGAGTGCCGATCACACTTGGTGCAAGTGACGAGTTGCAACGATCAGGAGCAGCCACGTTTCGTAGCGGCAGGAAGGGCGAGTAGCTCCGAATCGACAACAATCACAAGTGGAGCTTGAGTGTATACATTGTGTGTCTCTGAGGGATGCATTATAATCAACCAACCGTGATGATTGCCCATTATCAGGAGGGTGAAAGCGTCAATCTTTTTAGGACACCACGTTCGAATCGGTAAGCACCCTACCTGTAGTCCACAAGAGTGTGTTTGGCTGTTTACAATTCAATTAGTTTTTTTTCGACCTACTTGTATGTTTTCTCGACAGGTGATGGGGTACGTCCAGTTGGCGTGGAAGTCTCTGACTGAGTGCTTTGACGGGAGAAGCGTCGAACACGCCAGGTGACGAAGACGGGCTGGTGTTAGCAGGAGTTGCAGAGGATGTTTGTCTGTTAGCTTTCTCCCGCTACTTCCAATACGGGATCTGTCATTCTTTCTGTGTGCGGGGTTGGTGTTGTTGAAGTTTGTGCTGCTGAGGTTGATGTTGACTTCAAATGTGCCGTTCGCATTTCGCAATGTTTCTCCCGCCCGTAACGCTGCCCACCCCCCGCTGCTCATTTCCCGTGGCCTCTTGCGAATGTTGGGCCTCAACTGGTCACTCATGCGCCGGCCCGCCGTTGGACGCGCCTCTCAGAGCCTACCTCATCATGTCCTTCTTGCACCGCGTCATCGGTGACGAGGCAAGTCGTACAACCCATGTTCCACGCCCAGCCAGTTCAACGAACTCCTTGAACGGAGGGGTTGTCACCCCCCGATAGGCTTTTGATACCGCCCTTGATTACAGCTGAGAACCGTTGCTCGAGGCCCTTCATGAAGTTCACTTACCATACCTGTTGGCCAGTCCACACCGCCACCGCTCCTCATCGCCGTTCTTCAAATGGTAGGTGTCTTGTGGTCAGACCTTAGTTCCTCCCTGACCTAACCGGTCGAACTCTTGTTTACCTCTCTTTCCTCCTCGTCAGTGGGCTCTCCGCATATCGGTAATTCCTCTGCAGCATTGTGCTGTTGACAGTCTTCAGTGTGTCCATGCTTGTGCACGTTTCGTTGACGTTCACTCCGCGGTGCACGCTTGTCGTTTATGTCGCCGATAAGCAGGACAAGAACGAGCGCTATATGTCTTTCGCGGTGAATATTGTGTCCAAGCTTAGACCAGAGGACGTGCCAAAGGTGACTAGCGCAAGACATGGTGCAGTTATGTCACAAGTGCGCAGAGGGTGTGTCGTAGCCCACATATAGCTTTCCATCGCTTGACGTGTTCATGTTGCGTATGGTGGTGTTGGTGGTGTGCCTGGCGGGCAGGTCACCGTCCGCTCATGCACACCACGCACACCATCATTGCCAGTGATGATGGGGCGTTGCTTGTAAGCTTGACTGCCCTCGGTGCATCGAGCATTATTGAGTGTCGGGAACTTGAGGCCCTCCTACCCCGATGGCCACGCAGGAACTGGGGCTAATGCTGATGACCACGGACAAATTAAGGGTGTCCGCGTGTAACCCGCAGCCAGGGGACGATCTCAGCACTTCCTGCGACGAGGCTCTGGAGCTACCACAGGTAAGTGAAACAACATCTCGATCCCCAACAAAATGGTTAATTTCGTGAACCGTTTGCATCTGGCCTCTTTCTCGTTCGTCGGGTACGTTTTGCCTCTTGGTCCTACGTGTGTGACGGTTTCGCATGTTGGATTTTCAGGGTTACTGGGTTTGGATGCTTGTTTCCATTGCTGGCATTTCCATGCGTCGTTGTTGTGCATGCCATCTCGACGGGTGAACCACTGCACGAAGGCTGGCCGTGTAGACTAGATGCAATCTGTCAGTCGTTTCTGGTTCATGTTCATGACCACAGGGTATGTGCCCGAATTCCACGCTTCGGTGGGCGGTACTGCTTTGTGGCTGTGCCTCCAACTGGTGCCACCAAGCCTATAACAACCCCTCATGCGTTTCTTCCCTTGTACGTGCGTGCGTACCACGCGTACAATGGCAACCTGCGCTAGCAGGTGCGGGAGGCTCAACACCCCTTGACGCCGACGGACGTCACCAACGTGTTCCTCGTGGCGGACGGCCTGCTCAGTCAGGCCTTCATCGCTGACATGACGTCGGCAGGAGCGATTCCTGCGTCGGGAGGAGGCGCCGCACCACACGAGGAGAAAGGGGAGCCTGTTCTCGGCGAGTCCTACCGAGAGCTGGGAGGCGGTGGGGTGATGGAGGAGGGTGGCAAACAAGTGCGGAGTGCGGGCGTGGCCTGTGATGACGAGGAACTAGCCAACCGGTCGCACCGTGAACCAGACGTGCCCCCGACAGGGCCCGCTATGAAGCGCTTCGCCCGGGAGGCTCTGCCAGAGATGACGAGCTTGGCGAAGACGCTGGAAAGGTGGGCGACGGCCAAGGAGAAAAGATGGCCGACGATCGCGGCAAGGGCTCATTGTTTTCGTGGATAGGTTGCGACGAGCAGGGTGGCTCATCACTTTTTGGTGCAAGCTCAAACAAACCCGAAGCACCGCGTTTTGATAAGGCTCTGGTACCGCCTAGGTTCGAACAAGGTTGCACAAAACATGCGCCCTCGTGTATGGGTCGTTTACCATGGTGGCCATGGTGAGTTGCGCCTGCCGGTACGACACTCACCGCTATGCCTTCCAGCACATTGTTCAAACAGCCGAAGCAATTCCCGCGCTGGGCGGTTTTTCAGAGATTTATGTCGTTGCTTTCCCGAGAGATCAAATAAAAAACATGTCCGCTGTTGGCTTGTAACGTGTTGCTCCGTGTAGTTTTTCAAACAGCGACGGCTGATGCGATTTCACCTGCGCCCACGCTTGCTTTTTGCACCCTGTGCTCCCCGACACATGGACTGCACAATCCGTGCCGTTGCTCCTATCGCTGTCGTTGGGGTTTTGTTGCCGCTATTGAAACCTTGGGGGCTCCCAGTTCCGATACGTGCTCGGGGGTCGGCGGTGTTCTCTATCACGGGTGAGTGAGTGGGGACCGTTGGTTGAAATCCTCGACGGACAGCATTCCAGGGTTTCCAAGAGCATTTGCCGTGGCTGCGTGCGAAAAACATCCTTTGCTTCTCTCGTTTTGCTGATGTCCTTGGGTTCGGCTACGGCTCGTTCATGGCTCATGTGCCAACCTTTTGACAGGCGCCAGCTCCGTCCCTCCGAAGACACTAGGACGCCCTTCACGGGTATTACACTGTCTTTGCTGCTCGCCTCTCTGTACTTCGTTTATTGCGCGTTCGCGTGTGCTCTAACCCTTGCGCTTTCGCATCCCCGTCGCCCCTCCTTGCCCTCCCCTACGCAGTAACGTAGCCTACATGCGGGCTATTGCAGGCGATCTGGACAAGTCGTTCGAGTCTCTCCAGGCCTGCGTAGACGTAGTGCTGCGCTACCCCGGCCTCGTCCGTTTCAGGTGACCCTATCATTCCTTTTTCGTGGGATTCCCCTGTGTTGCACGTGCGAACAAGGAGGGGTTGGCTCGCTCTCCAGTCGATTGCTCACCTGATTGTTGCGCGTGTGCCTCTGGTTGCTTTGTCTTGTGTGGATGTCGGCTGTGTTTGGGTGCATTTGCCTACTTCCCGACGAACAATCGAGAGTGTTTGCCATCACGACACGCGCGAAATGATGTGGTAATGCTTTCGGTCCCCGCTACACCGGCTTATGAGCGACTGTCGTTGTTACGTAGCAGCAGGTGCGTCAGAAAGCCTACTCATTGTTTGTTCGTGAGTGTCTCATGTGTCTCGCCGTGGCGCATCACTTGCCTCCACTGTGTGCGTTCTTTCTCGCCAATACGTTTAGTCACACTCCATTAAGATCGTTCTTCGGTGATCCATGAATTCCCGCAGGTCTCATTTGATACACTGCATGCTCGCTGCGAGCCACTTTTTCAATCGGCGAGACATGTACGACGCCATGAGAGGGGTGTACAACTCCGTGGGTCCTATGGGATATCCACAAATTCCACCCTACGAAGAATGGAGGACGATTCGTCAGGTCTGCCCCCACGTCATGTGCAGGTATATGACTGACCATGTGAACGATTGTGAACCGTACAGTTGCTGTTTGCTGAACAGGCACCTGGTGCTTTAGACAAGGATCCGGGTGCTGTGACTGCCTATTGACACCTATTCGGTGCTTCTGATTTGGAGTTATTCGGTTGCTCATCACACGTAGACAATGATGGCCGCCACGCCTCTGCTGACACCCTTTGCCCCCTACGACGTTTGTCAAAGTCCGCTTGTGACTTCCGGCCCGCATGGATTCAGTTTTCGCACTGACCTATTGCCTCCGCCGTGTTCTAACCTATTCGGTGTTCTCCTGCGGATTCGCCCACACTCTTTCCCCACCCCGGATAAAAGGTCGATGGAGGCGGAACGTCTCCAACGGTATGGCGAGGGACCTGTGCAGACAAACGCCCCTTCTGAGGAACCGGTGACGTCTGAACCCTCGCCCGGCTCGATGACGTCCCCCCTCAGCGGAGCGGACAGTCAGAGCAGTGGCGCGCCCCCAGAAGGGCTGGCAAGCGAGGAGCAGGGGTCGCTAGCGCCAACGACGGCCACAGGTGCCACTGCTGTGTCATCACCGCTCCCCGACACTCCGCACACCTCGGCGACATTCGTGCAAGACGTCGATGGGAACGACGGTGCGGCTACTGGAGACATGCCGTTGCAACGTGGGCTGGTGGCGACGGCCATGCCCATCCCGGAATTGGTATACTCTGCAAAGGGTGAAGCCGGCGGTGTTCGGCATGCCGGCTGGTCGCGTGCGGCCGCTACCGGAGAGCAGGTCCGCAGTAGCACTACCGCTCCCGCTCCAGGTAGCCCAAAGATCGGGTTCAAGTGGTGGGGAGGAGAGGTTGTGTCAGGGGGGGCGGAGATGAACATGACTGACGCGGATCTGTTGGATATCGCGGCAGCGTTCGCGAATGACGAGGGGCTTTTGGAAGAACTGTAAATAAGCTAGGGATGTCTCGTTGGTGGAGGCGCGTTGATAATGGTTGGCGTTGTTTTTTGTACCCCATTGGTGTCTGTTGTTCAGGGTTTGTTGTTATAGACGTACTTTTTTGTTCAGGTCGATTCGCACGACGTTTTGAAATATTCACAAGAATGACAGCCTAACTTTGATATTCGAGGTGGTAGGCCTACTGTGTCGTGAGGTTCATTGTTTTTGGCCTCGTTTATTTGTTCATGTCATTCGCACGACGTTCTGGAGTATGAAAACGTTGCTTAATTTACGTTGGTGGAATTGTATGATTTTTTTAGGTCAGTGGCGCATCTTTGTCGTGGTCGTCATCGCTGTCGCTGTCGTCGTCGTAGTTGTAGCTCCTAGTCCAGTACCTCCGTTTTGATGCTCTTCAAGGCGAAAGAACGGGTTCCCGTTGTCCAAAGCTGGCCGCAGCCCTGCTGCAATGTTTTCGTGAGGTCGTTGAAGTTCAATCTTGTTCATTTGTGTACGGCTCCGGCATCGCGCCGTAGACTGCGGCACTTTTCATGGCGTTTAAAAGCTTGGAGTGAAAAGCTGAATAACATTGATACTTTGGGCATTGTTGCTCTCATTGTTCAGGTTCACTTCCACGCTTGGCGTCACAGGCAGGTGTGGTCGGCTGTTTTACCAACGCTACTGTAGTGCCGGTCATTGGTTGAGTTATGACCAAGCGGACGTCGGCACTGGAGAGTGGTGGGTGGGTTGACCCCATGTTCTCGTCTGGAAAAGTTCTGTTTTGTGTTGCTTTTCTCCAGGAGGAGCAAGCGGATGGCCGTTCCTACTTGCTGTAATCAAGAACGCGTGCTTTCATCTGTGAAACAAAAATGCTCTGAGACAGGCGCTCTATTGGTCTAGAATAGTAGAAGAACTACGTACTCGTTGTCGCATCAATTGTGGACGTGCACAGCCAATTTTCACAATAGTTTGTTTTGGTAGAGTATCTTGGTGATGTACAACATGTGCCAGCTCTCTGAAATGCCTACAAGGACGGCAGTGATTTTCGTTGATCGCCAGCACCTTTAACGTCCTCCATCTCTGCCTTGTCCCACCCGACTCTCTCTCCTCCTCTGTGCCGTGCACAGAGAAAGTCGCTCAGTTTAAGCACCCGGCTCAGCGTTGTGGAGGGGGGCATTTTGGTCGATATTTTCCAAAGCACTCAGCTTCTTCAGTGAGCCATCCACCATCAGCCACAAGCCAATGGCTTTCCTTGCCTCTCTTAATCCGGGAGCATGTTTTCTGAATGTTCCTGGTTCATATCGATCTGCAGCCAGAGACGACGGAAGCGATACCACTTCTCCCCGCGCTTCCTGCTGCGCCCGCTGCTCCCCGACACGCTAACTGCACGATTTGCACCAATGTTTCGGTCGCTGCCATAGCGGTTTTCTTCGAAGCGATGGTGACGTTCGGGCTCCCAGGTCCAACACATGCTCCGGGGTCCCCAGTTTACTCGATCACGGGTGAGCAAGTGGGCGCCGTGTGTGAATTCCTCGATGGACTGCATTCAGCGTTTCAAAGAAAATTCTCTTCCTTTCGAGTTTTCCCGTGACGGCGTGCGAAAAGCATCCCCTTCTGCCTCTCTCGTTTGCGGTTGTTTTTGTTTGGACACGGCTTGCACCAACCTTGAACGGGGGCCGACTGCGTACCCGTGGACCAGGTCGATACAATGGCCCCTGCACGTTCGTGGTACTTGATGTGATGCTCACCCATCTGTATTTCTTTTGTTGCACGTTTGGTGTGCTTCAATCCTTGCGTTTTTCACAAACCCGTCGCCCTCCCTTTGCTCTCGCCCCCGTAGCAACGTGTCCTACATGCAGGCTTTTGCCGGCGATCTGGCCGAGTTCTTGGAGTCCCCTGGAAGCCTGTCTAGAGGTTGTGCTGCGCTACCCCGGCATCATCCGTTTCAGGTGTCTTTGTGGGCACCCGATTTCACGTTGTGCAAGATGTTTCCACGGGCTAGGCGGGTGAAACACGGGTGCGATTGACTCTCTCTCCTTTTTTCTCTCCGTCAAGAACCAAGCATTCTGTTCCGTGGCAGACTCACCAGGCGAGTGTGGTACAGTTGGTGTTGAATCCTAGTACAAGGTGTTCTGGGAAGCGGCGATGGAGAAAGCGATTGGTGGTCACGACGACAAGGCGGGGACATTCACAAGAATTCGCAGGCTACCCATGTGGCGGAGAGCATTAGTTCGGCGTGGATTTTCTCGTACAAGGCGAACGAGAAGTGACTGATCGTTGATTCCAAAACACGTATGGATGCGCGTGGACTCAGCCAGACCCCCGGTGCAGACTATCACTACTCATCCTCAGCATGCCCGGCTGCAGCATCCATCAAGACAGTGGTTGCCGAAGCCGCCGAAAAGAGCATGAAAACTGTCTTATAGTCTAAACCGGGGATCTGGGTGAAGCCACGCGCAACCATACGTGTTTTGGAATCAACGATCAGTCCCTTCTCGTTCGTCTTGTACGAGAAAATCCTCATTGCACTAGTGCCCTCCGCCCCTTGGGTGGCCCACCAGTTCTTGTGAATGTCTCCGCCTTGTCGTGACCACCAACCTCTTTTCTCCATCGCCGCGTCCGCCACCGCCACCTAGGCTGCCACTGCGACCACCGCAACGGCAACGTCTAGACGACCGCCCCCTGCGGCCGAGGTAGGTCTGCTCGCTGCCCCGCGCACCTTTGCGTTTCCCCTTCTTCAGCTTCTGCCGGAGCACCTCGTACTCGATCGTGACCTCCTCCAGGACATCGTCTCAGGTCAACGTCTCCTTGGGTCGCAGGGCGTGCTTCGTCATCGCAAATTCATTCTAAAGGGAGTCCAAGAAAAGTGGATGGCAAAAGTTTCGTCGAGTTCTTTTTTATTTTTGGAGAAGGACTCGGCGGTGTCTACTGTAGCATCTTGTTCAACGCATGTTGGGGATTTCCAGCCGTGGAGATCTTCGTTGAGGTAAGCGACTTTAGGTCGGCCGCCGGTGCCATGGGCGATTCTAGTCGTACATGCCTATTAGCTCTAGAAGCGCTCCCTGGGGCGTCTCCGCCCTCTTCATGATATCTTAAGCACTATTCTTTGTCAGTGCATGGTCAGGAAGTTCCATGCATGAAATGCGAGCTCTACTTGGTCGTTGGTATTACTGTCACAGCAAAAACTTGCTTCTTCCGCTTTTTACGGGGATCTCCAAATTCCCGCTCTCTTCAAAGTGGTTCAACAGCTTAGCACCATTTGCCGCCGTACGTCAAAAGCCATCAGGTTATGTATGTCCTTCCACGTTGAATGGCGGGGATGTAGACTATATCGCACACTTTGGTGTCCTGCACACCCGCAGTTGGAACACCGAAACCGAAACCACCAGCAGCACCACCTCAAATGGTGCTGCCATAACCACCTTGGTCATGAGCAGCAGCTACTCTCACCTCTCGGGGGTCAAAAGCCCCCGCCGCTTCGCCGCCGTGTCGCCCTTGCGGGCCGGACTCTCGAGCCGGTTCGCGCTGGTGTTCGTCTCTGCGCGCGCTCTCGACCTGCGGTGCCCCTCCATGAACAGCGTACCGCAGGCGACCCGGCTATGCTCTCCGCGGCCAGCAGCACCATCCTTGGCACTGACGGACCCCTTCATCTTGCGTGATGATGCCAGACCTGTCACCAGCATCGTCAGCTGGCTGATCTGCTCCGACACCTAGCCCACTTTCAGGCTCGTGACCTCTTGTGAGTCTCCCACCGCGGGATTGCCGGAAGTGTCACTCACTATCTCCGTCTTCGCGAGGTCGCCATACACGACCGGCCATTCCTAATGGACCCCCTCCAGGGATAGTTTCTATTGTCCGTTACTTCGAAGGGAAACCTCGTATCGTCTTTCTTAGTAGACACGCAAGGGGAGCGAGGACGGGTGGGCCCTCCATGGAATTCAAGGGGGACCCACACATAGTAGCCTTTCAGGTATACATACGCTCCTGTCCGCGTCCCTCCGCCGTTGCCGGTAGATCTAACCAGTCCGTATTCAAAAACACGAACAAGGGGGACGAAAAACGGATTGTAGTGAAGGCACGATCAAGGTCGTGCGTAAACGCACTTCGGCTATACGGTCACCGAGGGAAAGGAATGGCTGAACCCTTTTCGCGATAAAAGCCAAAAAATGAAAAAAGCTCCATATTTCTGTATGAACTTTCTTTTGCGTGACCCCGGCTGATGCGCTGATACGTCAGGTACAACCGTAGCCTACACCAAGCCTTCCGAAAAATCCAAGCGCATGTATAGACACATCACTGCACTAAGGCAAGCGTATCATATGAGGACTTGATATATCGAAGCCTGAGCGTGTGACAGGGGATGCGGTGTGGCACTCATAACGTGCTAGATTTTGGATGATGACCATGTACCAATCGAAACGGCACTCTGGCCAACACATGCACACCGTTCCGCAAGAATGGTCCAAGAAGTAACAGAGGCATGAAAGCCCTATAGCTTGTGGATGATGGTGGATGACTCACCGAAGAGGCTTTCGAAAATATCAACCGAAATGCCACCCTCCACAGCGCTGAGCCGGGAGCTTGAACCGAGCAACTTTCTCTGGGCGCGGCACAGATTCGAAAACAACTACAGTCGTATCTCTTCTACATTCTTCTCGTAGACCAACAGAGCGCCTTTCACAGAGCGTTCTTGACGCACATATGAAAGCATGCGTTCTTCGTTACAGCAATTGGGAAAGGCCACTCGCTCGCTCCTGCTGGAGAAAAGCAATACAAAACAGAACTGTTCCCGACGAATACGTGTGGGGTAGTTTCACAGTCAACCCACCCACCACTCTCCAAAGCAATGACCGACACCGGTGTTGCTAAAACAGTCGACCACACCTGCGTGTGACGCCGAGCGCGGAAGTGAACTTGAAAAATGAGAGCAACAACGCCAACAGTATCAATGTTATTCAGCATTTCACTCCTAGCTTTGCACTCCATGAAAAGTGCCACAGTCTACGGCGGCGCGATGCCGGAGCCGTACAAATGAACAAGAGACTGAAGTCAAATGACCTCTCGAAAACATAGCAGGGCTGCGGCTAGCTTGGGACAACGGGAACCCGTTCTTTCGCCTTGAAGAGCATCGAAACGGAGGTACCGGGCAGAGGTCAGACCGGTCTAGGAGCTACGATGACGACGACAACGACAGCGACAGCGACGGCGACAGCGATGACGACGACAAAGATGCGCTGTCTAGCACAAAACATCATAAAGTTCCACCAACGTGTGTAAAGCAATGTTTTCATACTCCGAAACGTTACGCGAATGACTTGAACAACCAAACGGGGCCAAAGCACTGAATCTTACACTGAAGTAGGCCTAGTTAAATCCTTGAGTGCGAAACCACGTGAACAAAAAAGTATGTCTACAACAACAAACCCTGAACAACAGACACCAATGGGGTACAAAGATAAAAACCCTACCAACCACTATCAACACGCCTCCACCAACGAGACATCCCTAGCTTATTTATAGCAGTTCCTCTTCCAGAAGCCCCTCGTCATTCGCGAACGCTGCTGCGATGTCCAACAGATCCGCGTCAGTCATGTTCATCTCCGCCCCCCCTGACACAACCTCTCCTCCCCACCACTCGAACCCGATCTTTGGGCTGCCTGGAGCGGGAGCGGCAGTGCTACTGCGCGGGTGCTCGCCGGTAGCGGCCGCACGCGACCAGCCGGCATGCCGAACACCGCCGGTATCACCCTTTGCAGAGTATACCGATTCCGGGATGGGCATGGCCGTCGCCACCAGCCCACGTTGCAACGGCATGTCTCCAGTAGCCGCACCGTCGTTCCCATCGACGTCTTGCACGAATGTCGCCAAGGTGTGCGGAGTGTCGGGGAGCGGTGATGACACAGCAGTGGCACCTGTGGCCGTCGTTGGCGCTAGCGACCCCTGCTCCTCGCTTGCCAGCCCCGCTGGCGGCGAGCCACTGCTCTGACTGTCCGCTCCGCTGCGGAAAGACTTGATCGAGCCCGGCGAGGGTTCAGACGTCACCGGTTCCTCAGAAGCGTTGGTTGTCTGCCCAGGTCCCTCGTCGAGATGTTGGAGAATTTCCGCCTCCATCGACCTTTCATCCGGGGTGGGGAAAGAGTGTGGGCGAATCCGCAGGAGAACACCGAATAGGTTAGAACACGGCGGGAGCAACAGGTCAGGAGGTCAGTACGAAAACTGAATCCATGGGGGCCGAAAGTCACAGGTAGACTTTGACAAACATCGCAGGAAGCCAAAGGTGTCAGCAGAGGCGTGGCGGCCATCATTGTCTACGTGTGATGAGCAACCTAATGACTCCAAATCAGAAGCAGCGAAGAGGCGTCTGGACTTTTAACTTCTCAACTGGAAAAACAGCACCCTGATCCTTGTCTAAAGCACCAGGTGCCTGTTCAGCAAACAGCAACTGTACGGTTCACAATTGTGCACATGGTCAGTCATACCTGCATAAGACGTGGGGGCAGACCTGACGAATCGTCCTCCATTCTTCGTAGGGTGGAATTTGTGGATATCCCATAGGACCCACGGAGTTGTACACCCCTCTCATGGCGTCGTACATGTCTCGCCGATTGAAAAAGTGGCTCGCAGCGAGCATGCAGTGTATCAAATGAGACCTGCGGGAATTCATGGATCACCGAAGAACGATCTTAATGGAGTGTGACTAAACGTATTGGCGAGAAAGAACGCACACAGTGGAGGCAAGTGATGCGCCACGGCGAGACACATGAGACACTCACGAACAAATAATGAGTAGGCTTTCTGGCGCACCTGCTGCTACGTAACAACGACAGTCGCTCATAAGCCGGTGTAGCGGGGACCGAAAGCATTACCACATCATTTCGCGCGTGTCGTGATGGCGAACACTCTCGATTGTCCGGCGGGAAGTAGGCAAATGCACCCAATCACTGCCGACATCCACACAAGACAAAGCAACCAAAGGCACAAGCGCAACAATCAGGTGAGCGATCAACTGGAGAGCCCGCCAACCCCGCATTGTTCGCGCGTGCAACACCGCGAAACACCAAGAAAAAGGAATAATGGGTGTCAATACACAGACCTGAAACGGACGAGGCCGGGGTAGCGCAGCACTACGTCTACGCAGGCCTGGAGAGACTCGAACGCCTTGTCCAGATCGCCTGCAATAGCCCGCATGTAGGCCACGTTGCTGCGTAGGGGAGGACAGGGAGGGGCGACGGGAATGCGAAAGCGCAAGGGTTAGAGCACACGCGAACGCGCAATAAACAAAGTACAGACGGGCGAGCAGCAAAGACAGTGTAATACACGTGAAGGGGGTCCTAGTGTCTTCGGATGGACGGAGCTGGCGCCTGTCAAAAGGTTGGCACATGAGTCATTTATCGAGCCGGAGCCGAACCCAAGGACATCAGCAAAACGAGAGAAGTAAAGGGATGTTTTTCGCACGCAGCCACGTCAAATGCTCTTGGAAACCCCGGAATGCTGTCCGTCGAGGATTTCAACCAACGGTCCCCACTCACTCACCCGTGATAGAGAACACCGCCGGCTCCCGAGCACGTATCGGAACTGGGAGCCCCAAGGTTTCATTGACGGCAAGAACAACCCAACGACAGCGACAGGAGCAACGGCACGGATTGTGCAGTCCATGTGTCGGGGAGCACAGGGCGCAAAAAGCAAGCGTGGGCGCAGGTGAAATCGCATCAGCCGTCGTTAGCTGAAAAACTACACGGAGCAACACGTTACAAGCCAACGGCGGACATGCTTTTTATTTGGTCTCTCGCGAAAACCACGACCGAATTCTCTGAAAAAAACGCCCAGCGCAGGAATTGCTACGGTTATATGAACAATGTGCTGGAAGACATAGCGGTGAGTGTCATATCGGCAGGCTTAACTCACCATGGCCACCGTTGTAAACGGCCCATACACGAGGGCGCATGTTTCCTGCAACCTTGTTCGAACCTAGGTGGTACCAGTGCGATATCAACATGTGGTGCGGGGTTGTTTGAGATTGCGCCGGAACTGATGAACCACCCTGCTCGTCGCACCCCATCCACGAAAACAATGAGCTCTTGCAGCGATTGTCGGCCATCTTTTCCCCTTCGCCGTCGCCCACCTTTCCAGCGTCTTCGCCAAGCTCGCCATCTCTGGCAGAGCCTCCCGGATGAGGAGCTTCATAGCGGACCCTGCCGGGGGCACGTCTGGTTCACGGTGCACTTGGTTGCCTAGCTCTTCGTCCTCCCAAGCCACGTCCGCATTCCACATTCGTTTGCGACCCTCCTCCATCACCCCACCGCCTCCCAGCTCTCGGTAGGACTTGCCGAGAACAGGCTCCCCATTCTCCTCGTGCGGTGCCGCGCCTCCTCCAGATGCAGGAATCGCTCCTGCCGACATCATGTCAGCGACGAAGGCCCGGGTGATCAGGCTGTCCGCCGCAAGGAACGCGTTGCTGACGTCCGTCGGCGTCAAGAGGTGTTGAGCCTCCCGCACCTGCTAGCGCAGGTTGCGATTGTTCGAGTGTAGTACCGCACGTACGAGGGAAGAAACGCACGAGGGGTTGATATAGGCTTGGTGACGTCATTCAGGACAAACAGCTAGCAGTACGGCCCACCGAAGCGTGGAAATCGGGCGCATACCCTGTGGTCATGAACATCAACCAGAAAAAGCAGTTGATGACTGATTGCATGGAGTCTACACGGTCAGCCTTCGTGCAGTGGTTTACCTGCCGAGATGGCATACACAACAACGACGCATGGAAATACCAGCAATGGAAACAAGCATCCAAACCCAGTAACCCTGAAAATCCAACATGCGAAACCGTCACACACGTACCCACATAGGACCAAGAGGCAAAACGTGCCCGACGAAACGAGCAAGAGGCCAGATGCAAACGGTTCACGAAATTAACCATTTTGTTGAGGATCGAGATGTTGTTTCACTTACCCGGGGTAGCTCCACGGCCTCGCCGCAGGAAGTGCTGAGATCGTCCCCTGGAGGCTGGTTACACGGTGACACCCTTAATTTGTCCGTGGTCATCAGCATTAGCCCCAGTTCCTGCGTGGCCATCGGGGTAGGAGGGCCTCAAGTTCCCGACACTCAATAATGCTCGATGCACCGAGGGCAGTCAAGCTTACAAGCAACGCCCCATCATCACTGGCAATGATGGTGTGAGCGGCGTGCATGAGCGGACGGTGACCTGCCCGCCAGGCACACCACCAACACCACCATACGCAACATGAACACGTCAAGCGATGGAAAGCTATATGTGGGCTACGACACACCCTCTACGCAGTGTGACACAACTGCACCATATCTTGCGCTAGTCACCTTTGGCACGTCCTCTGGTCTAAGCTTGGACACAATATTCACCGCGAAAGACAGATAGCGCTCGTTCTTGTCCTGCTTATCGGCGACACAAACGACAAGCGTGCACCGAGGAGTGAACGTCAACGAAACGTGCACAAGCATGGGCACACTGAAGACTGCTACAATAATAGCACAATGCTGTGGAGAAAATACCGATCTGCGGCAGAGCCCACTGACGAGGAGGAAAGAGAAGTAAACAAGAGTTCGACCGGTTAGGTCAAGGAGGAACTAAGGTCCAACCACAAGACACTTACCGTTTGAAGAACGGCGATGAGTAGCGTTGGCGGTGTGGACTGGCCAACAGGTATGGTAAGTGAACTTCATGAAGGGCCCTACGAGCAACGGTTAAAATCAAGGGCGTTACCAAAAGCCTATCGGGCGGTGACAACCGCTCCATTCAAGGAGTTGGTTGAGCTGGTTGGGCGTGGAATGTAAAGTGCACGTTTGACTTGCCTCATCGTGGATGATGCTGTGCAAGAAGGACATGATGAGGTAGGCTCTGAGAGGCGCGTCCAACGGTGGGCCGGCGCATGAGTGACCAGTTGAGGACCAACATTCGCAAGAGGCCAAGGGAAATGAGCAGCGGGGGGTGGGGAGCGTTACGGGCGGGAGAAACATTGCGAGATGCGAAGGACTCATTTGAAGTCAACTTCAACCTCAACAACACAAAAATCAACAACCTCAACAACACCAACATCACACACACAAAGAATGACACATACCGTATTGGAAGTAGCGGAAGAAAGCTAACAGATAAAAATCCTCCGCAACTCCTGCTTTCACCAGCCCGTCTTCGTCACCTGGCGTGTTCGACGCTTCTCCCGTCAAAGCACTCAGTCAGAGACTCCCGTGCCAACTGGACGTACCCCATCACCTGTCGAGAAAACATACAAGTAGGTCGAAAAAAAACTAATTGAATTGTAAACAGCCAAACACACTCTTGTGGACTACAGTGGGGTGCTTACCGATTCGAACGTGGTGTCAAGAAAAAAGATCGACGCTTTCACCCTCCCGCAAATACGCAATCGTCACGGTTGGTTGATCATAATGCATCCCTCAGAGGCACACAATGTATGCACTCAGGCTCCACTTGTGATTGTTGTCGATTTTTCGGGGCCAGTCGCCCTTCCCGCCGTGGCGAAACGTTGCTTGTCCTGATCGTTGCAACTCGTCACTTGTACCAAGTGTGATCGGCGCTCGAGGGCTCTACATTCCCAAGCGCCTGTATTTCCAACCCAGTGCAGCAGACATTGGCTTCAAGATAACCCACACCCAGGGCGTACAAATCCCGAACGGAAAGACCAGTCGTGCGGGAACATGAATACGGATGCATCTTGTCCCCCGACCAAAAATATATTAGTGGGGAGGGGGCGGGTTGCTGTCAGGAGATACTGCTTAACGTCGTTCGGGTTGTCGGCTGTTCGCAACTTGGTCGTGACTCACATGCTCAACCGGAATGCCCCTCATGAGCGCCCCCAGCGCGATTGCACACCACATCATGCACTTGGCTGGATGGTCCGGTAGAGTATGTCGGCGAGCCAATGCCCCACCCCCACTCCAGCCCTTCTCCTCATCCTCGGCCAGTCCTTCCATCCCGGAGCCACCCGTTCCGGAGTACGCCTGGCCGCCGCACTGCCGCATCATGACCTCCACCATCGCGTTGCGAACAGTGCTACAAAAATAGGAAGAATCCGCGGAAGCACGGGGAACGGAGAAGGGGGGCAAAGAGGCCGCTCATGTTGGAGTGATCAACAACAGGATAACAATCGCATCCGCAGCGTAGGTGTAAATCATTTTATCTCTTAGGGGAGGTCCGGCGTATGGTAGCTGGGGAAAAGCGAGGGCGGCTTGTGTGGAGATACGTAAAACATTCGGCTCACCTCCCAAACGTGGGGGTCAAAAAAAAAGATAGATATATTTTCGCGCGGAGTGCGGAAAGAAGGGGCGGCGAGAGACATCAAAGCAAGCATAGACAGATATCGACGGAGCCTACGCCACCACAGAGGTCACTAGTGCACACGCTCACACCTCGCCCGACACCACCAGTTAGTCAGGGGATGACTGAGAGCGCTGTTTACCTCCTGCTGCTGCTGCTGTTGATGCTGCGGTGCAGGATGGGTGTGTGCTTGCTTTCCTCGCTTTCGCTGCTAACAGCGGGTAACGGGCTCTAAAAATCGTCCCCGATGCCTCCTACGATGTGTATATTTGGCCGCCGTTGGCCTAAAGCGTTGTGCACGTCTCACTTGTCTCTGTTTCGGGGGTGCTTCTGTGGTGGAAGCAAACATCGGCCTGCAGACGAAGACAGACCGCAGACAGATTTGACTTGCGTGCACTCGCATGCTCCCTCGCTTACGCTGCTAGCAGCATGCCTCGGGGTCTCAAAATAGCTTCCGACGCCAGCCATGATGTGTGCCTTTGGCCGGCCTTGGCCTACAGCAGTGTGTACGTCTCGTTGTCCCTGTTGTGGGGATGCGTCTGTGTGGGAAGCCCCAAAGATCGGTAGGTTGAGTATGATGCAGGCGGACTGCAGATTGACCTGCGTCGTCACTCGCTTGTGCTGCCGACCGACAGCAGGCAACGGGCTGTAATAGTCACACCCAACGCCTTCTATGATGTGTTCCTTGGCTGCCCTTGGCCTACAGCAGTCCGTATGCTTCTGTGTTGGTTGTCTCGTCTGTTGTCTGCGTGGTGGGTGTGGTGCTGCTGTGCAAGAGGATTTCGGGGATTCTCCCGAGAGCGTCGTGCGCATCGCTCAATCATCTGTCTCTGTCTTACAAAATGTCTTACAAAATCGACGGGTGATTGGCGGGAGATGGGTATCTACCCGGCTCTACCCCTCTAAAACATAGATAATTGTTGGAAGTTCCCCCATGTATGGGTGCCCTGCCCATTCCGGCGACCGCTGTGGAAGCGCAACCCATCAAGACTCAAGCGTGGGTCACAATCGCCACAGCAGCATGGAGGGTCTGAGGTGGCGAGGAGAGGAAGCTTGCTGGACTAACCTCTCGGTCGTGAGGGGAAGGACACCCAAGCACCCGAAGAAGTCGCCCAAGAAACCGTTCTCCTGCATGCCCACGAGACCTGTAGCGGGTGACGCGCTCAGCCGGCACCTGGTTGTTTTGTGCGGTATTGGGCGCGACAACAACAAGGGCGGTGATATAAACCATATCTAAGCGAAGGACGCAAATGGGTTTTCGGTCGGAGATAAAAGAAATCTCACTGTTGAGAGGGTTAGTCATTTGACATGTTTCGTGGGTGCGGTAAGGGGGCTCTAGCCCTTGCACAAACTCCAGTCCTTACCCGATCTCTCTAACCTGTTGGTAATGCTACACCAGGGCTGAAGTGTTCATCGGTGGCCGCTACCGTCTTGTACCCTTGGTCCGGAAAGACCTCCACTCGTTGTAACAAAAGTGGTGTGCAAAATGCTTCACAGGCAAGTCTGAGTCGACAGGGGGAAAAAATCCTACCACAACTGTTTAGGGAAAAAACATTGGTGCTGGGTCATTCTCGACATATCCTCACGATCGTTTGAGAAAACCAAATTTGACAAGACTCCAAAAGTGGGAGAGTCATGCCTACAAAAGCTGCCAGTGACTATCCCAACCCACCCAAACAAGCAAAAAGGGTGAGTTCATCCAGAAAAGCACGACCCAGCGTATGCCAAACATCGGCGCTTTCCAACAAGCAACTCAACGGGTTTAAGAACTGCAAAGGGGAAATCCGACGTCTTGTGGGGGCATTTACTCGAAGATCCTCTGCGATATACGTATGCATGTAACGTCAAACTGCACCTCTTGAGAGACATGCGACCCCGCACAGTCGGCATGCTCCGGGTGTCGACGGTCGCTAGCACGCCCCCCGTGCCATACGAAGCAACCTCGTGAGCTTCGGCCAGCCGCTTGGCCTTACTGGCATCTCCCGAGGAAATGGAGCAGTCGGAAGACGAAGAGGACGAGGAGGACAGCCGTCGTGCCGCCGCTGGTTTTGCTGCTGCCCGCTTCGGCAACGGTTTCAACGGGTAGTGGCAGTGTGACTGATTCTTCTCGATGCAAAGGCTTCCCACCGACAGGCAGGACACGGGACAACGTTCACGGAAGGGGAAGAGGGATGTTGCCCACTTAGCGGGTGGAACCCAGGTAACGTACGGCGGGCGGATCGAACAAAAATGACGCAGACCCGACTAAGGAGAAGTGGGAACCGAACGACAGCCATGGCACGGAGCCCCTTCCCTCGAGGCACACTGTCTGTACACCCCGATCCCCATCTAATGGTTGTCTGCTGCATGCTGCTCCCGCAATGTTTTTCTACCCAACAAAATGTCACATGTTCTACGCACACCGCAGTAATGTCCCGCGCGACTTCATCGTGCTAACGAGTGGACTCGTGACTCCGTGCGACCACCTTGAGGGCGACCAGGAGCGTCAAAATCAGAGAGTATATCGCAGCGGAAAAACGCTCTTTTTGTGGGCACGTTCTTCAGTTTCAACTAGAGTCTACATGTGTAAACGCTGTAGGAGCGACACCCCACTAGGGGGCATCCCGGCTGGGTACATTCGATGTCATGAGTTCCTATGTGCACTACTGCTGTACTGTAGATACACGTGCACGCTGAGAGGCCGAATTTCCATCCCCACATGAACGTGTTGTGACCCGTGGGGTGTACATGTCTTGTCTGAGCGAGGGTCCCCTCGCGTACGTCGCAAGGATTTACTAATAGTCTACACAACGATCGTACCTAGAGTATCACAGCGAAGACGGTGTGAATGACGACGTTGGCAAACCCTCGAGTGCAGTGTGCAGCACAACGATCTTGTAGGTTCTACTGGCAGCCTAGCAGTTGCCGGCTTTACCTCGGCATTCGCATAATCAGAGTCCTGTACGTCTTTACAGCAGTAAGTACCTCGCACATCCCGAGACACCGACACCCTCTGTCCCCAGACCCTTCCATATTTGAGTTTGATTCTTATGGAGAAGGTATGCAGCAGCATAGCAGCACGCGGCGGTGGAGACTTCGAGCATGCGTGCGACGAACAAACACATCCTGTATCTTGCTCAGTCCTACCGATCGGGCAAGGCCAAAAGAGCCTGCGGTAGGTACTCAAAGCGTCGAACTTGTACAGAGTGTCTGTCCAGTTGAGTCGAGGAGGGGAAGAGTTGGAAAACGGCAAGCAAGAGTACAATCGCCCTCCTCACTGTACACAACATTATCCAATGTACCTGCATCGAGGTCTCCGACTATCACAGGCACGCTTCCGTTTGGCGCAGAAGGTGCAGCTCTTGTAAGTTTGTCGCGGAGGGGCTGCCTCTACCGCCGCCTCCCCAGGTGTTGCCATGTAGGCTGGCTGCCCTGCTGGCTGGGCTAGACGTTGCATCCCCTCCATCACCGTGGGTTCTTGTGTCGTGGCCACCATGACATCGGAAGCAAAGCCTCCGGAGCGATCCATTTGGGCGTTTTCCAAGCGGCCTCGTCCTTCACAGGCGGCCCGGGTAGAGAGACCAAGACGCTACGCTACGGTAAGCTGCGGGGGTAGCGGTGACGCTGAGGAGCTGGTAGAGGGGACGCGGGCTAACTCTTTCAGTCCCGAGAACCTTTTCAGGAACTGTTCCCCGCCCGATTTGATTGGCCAATCAGAGGAGGCGTACATAGGCGCGAGGTAATGCTGCAGCTGGGCATGACCAAGGAAGGGCTCGCTGAATACTCGCTGTAGTTTATGGAGTGGACTCTGCCAAGCTCGTGTGGCTTCCTCCCCCATGCTGCTGCGGGTGGTAAGAAGAGCCAGAACCATCCCAATTTCGGCCACTCCTCCAACCCAAGCGGAAAGAGAGAGGCAGGATGGCGGAGTGGGCGCAAGAGCACGCGAAATGTTGTTCCCGCTGGCTGCCGCGCCAGACAAGCAGCACCAGCGGCAGCGCGTGATATAGTACAAGCGGTGGAGGTGTACAGGTAGGAGCAACACGGAACCGCAGTTAGGTGCCCCAGCTAGATAGTTGCAGCTGCAACGGCAGTGTTGTGTTGTTGCTTTGCTCTGGAATGCATCTACAGCAGTAATGACGGCAGTGGTCGCCAATCAAACATTTTTCCATCTCTTTCCGCCTTCCACCAACGAAAAATCGACACCATTGAGTTGCGGAGGCTCAGAACCTGCCTATGAGTCAATGTTGGTGGACTATGTAAACCAGTTACCTCTCGGCGCTAAGGTATCATTCTAGTCTAGTCTTCTATTGCTGTTGCCAAAGATCTTGTGCGACATGGTCTCCCCACCGGGCTATAGCTACAAATTGTGGATGATTCCAATATTGTTCCATCTTCCGGTACCCACATGTAGTCTACATGTGCTTTCATTCTGGTGACAGAATTAGTCCGATTGGCGTAGACCGTATGAAGTACCACATCAGGTGTGTTGGTCCGATTTGTTCTGCCGCCAGCATACACACCTCTACATAGAATATGGCGAACAGAATGCTTGGAATTTGACCACCGAGATCCAAAATATATCTTGTGGGGTTACAGGTCGTTTTGTCCAGGAGGTACATAGCATCAACTTGTTTGTGGTCTACTATTGTACTTTGTTGTGGCAACCCCGACCGCAGACGGTCGTTTGGATTGTCTCGTCCTTCTCGTTCCCGACGACCCACACCACGCACACACGTTCATTTCTTCCCTAGCCCACCATCACCACAACCTCTACTACCTGTACTGTGCCTGTGTGGGGCGTGGTATTTTTTTGTTTATGTTGACAACTGCGACACCTCCTACACGTGGAGCGACAACTTCGTTCAGCTTTCCTACGTCGACGACGAACAAAACACCATCGACCTCTCCGGCTTTGAAGATATATCTTTCATCGATGAGCCGGATACCGGGATATGTCGTGAGTACGGTTGAAGAGATTGTGCCAACTCAAGCATCACTATTTGTAAGGAATAGCTCGTGCCTCATGCCTTCGATACACTTCAACTTCTGTACAGTTTTGTGCTTGAGTGGTACAATAGTTTGAATGCAAGATCGAAATCTATGGCGGTCTACCGCTTTGCCACCTGAACTGGACATGCCCGTGTCGTTCCCTTCTTGTCCTATCCTGGCAGTCACTCCTAGCCCGGCCACGCCATCGCCGGCCACCCCAGCGCCTGTCACCGATTCCACCCCTTCCCCCACTCCTGCCCCGACCATGCGTGGTGAGACATGATGATGGATGTGTTGGTATACAACTGGTAGGCCGCAATGTCGGCCGATACTCAGACTGTCGTGTTCACCTGGTGTCAAACAACGATTCAGACGAAATTGGTTTTCCCACCGGAGCTCCCGCCGATGCTGTTCTTCCACAGTAACGACAAACTGCACCTTGTCCAGTTGGAACCACCTATAGAAAGAGGAGACAACCATAACAAAGACAAGCTCAAAGACTCTACTTTTTGTCCATCCCATCTACTCTTAGCGCCAACTCCTCCTTCACATTTTTTCTAATACCGATGTGCCAGCCGTGGTCAAACATGAGGAAGGCCGTATTGAATTTCCCTGGCTGCCATGTTGCGTCCTCAAACCCGGCATCATGACACACCCAGATTGTATTGTGCTTTTATGAGGTCATGACGAAATGTTGTCAAGCAACGTCAAGGTGAAATAACGGCCATGCCGCGGTTACCCGTTCTGTGTCCGGTGTTGGAAATTGCATATTGACTTGATTATGTATAGCTAGGGCTCTACGTTCCCTTGCGCGCAGGCAGAGAGACCGGACTTCAACCGAAAAACGAAGTACCCGAGCCAACTGGTACGCCTTCGACGGACAGAGAACAGGGCGTTATCGCCCAGCAACCAAGGCGGGCTCACCTTTAACTACCTCCTCTTCTCTTTCCCTTTCCTGGTCTCCCTCTTTCGTCTCTCGCGTTTCACTCACTCTCTCTGTGCGTTTATTGGTCTGGTGTGTTGATCGGGAAATCGAAAGAAACCTTTCTTTTTTTCAGTTACAAAGGCTAGAATAACAACTGAATTTTCGTCTCGTTGACGATGACGAAGGAGCCTCTCTGGTGTATTTCTATGCTCATGGCTTTGCTTCACACAGCGATGGGTTCGAATCACGCCCTCGCCCGTGTTTTTTCCCAGGAAAAATACAGGCGGCCACAAGGTTGAAATGATCTTAATACCTCCCCAACATTGCTTCCCAAAAACTGAAAATGAAAAAATAAGAAAAACGAAAATTCAAACGAGCCAACTCATAGAAAGTGGTGATTGCGAAAGGGCGGCGGCACTCGTCGATACTGTGTCTATATGTGTGTACTCGTGGACACTGGTATGAGAGAACAAAGTTCCGGTTGGTGTGCTTCGAACTCCAGATTTAACGGCCGGACTGGTTTGGTGGATAAACAAAATATGGTTTTCGTACTTTTTGTTGGTATTCCGAAGATGCGAGCACCTGCACACGAAGGAACCCGGTTTGGTCGGACCCACAATTTCATATCATGACACTGCTAGATTTCCCTAGGGAGAATCGCACAATCGCAATCCCATTGATGCCCTCCTACACCACCGCCCTCACGTGCCCCCTGTCGGTATCACTCATACTGCTGAACAACAGGCGCCTACTGTCACGGTGACCCGCACTGCCAAACGTTCGATGGTCTTTACTACGACTGCCATGGGGACGGTGACTTCGTGCTGCTCGAATCGGCAGACGCGGGAGCCGTGGTGCACGCGCGGTTTGAGCCGCTCGTCAGCCCCGATGCCTCTTTCACCACCGGCGTGGCCGCCACCGAGGACGGATCCTCGGTCATCGAGGTCACCGTAAGCGGCGGCGAGCGCACCATCCTAATCGACGGAGAGGCGTATGCGTACGGCGAAGGAGACGACTTGCCCGCAACCATGACGGGGGTAGCCCTCACGGTCACCGACCAAAACGTGGACATGTGGTTTCCCTCGGGGTTGCAAGTGAATGCCAGGCGCTGGTTCACGGACCCGAACTACATCGGGGGCGTCTACGTGTACGCGCCACTCGATATGTCCACGGTCGGCGTTCTCGGCACCAATAACGGCAACAGAGTCGACGATTGGACGGTGAAAACAGCGTCTGAAGCAAAATGGTCACATTTTCTTGGCGGCAGTGGGTGGTGACGTTTCAAACAGCGCAGAGATTTGGCGGTGATCCTGTGGCGATGGGGTTGGTTGTTTGCTGTATTGGTTTGGTTGTAGAACCATCCACCATGCCGCTTCATGTCGCACAAATCGATGTTTTCATATTTTCAACACATGAGTGAATCGACGTCTGGTATAATGTGTTGGATCCAAAACGAATGAGCAGCGCACACAAAGGGCACGTTACGGGCTGCCGGAAGTTTTTCGCTTGTGCTGTGTATCGGTTTGGCTCTGATCCTGCCGGTTGATGCCGCCAACTGATTTTTCCGACCACTGGCTGTCGTTGCTGGTGTACACCCGCAGCAGCCAGTCACTAGATATCGGTCATCGGTACCCTGCTTATCCGATGTAGATGTGGCAGTTAGTGCTACAAATGAATACATAGATCTACTAGAATTTGTACGTTTGTTGCATGTTTGTACATATACGTTGGCTGTATTGCTCATACACACAAAATTTGTTTCTATATATGAATCTCCGCGAGACCCTTCCGAGACAAACGTTTGCCTCTCACTTCGCTCTAGCATTCCTTACCCCTGTTGTCAAGAGACCGGTTGTTTGGGGGCAAAAACTAAGATCGAACCCCAGTGGTATTCTTTTCATATGTTGTCACTCTCTGACGCACCTTGTGGAGGCTTCGGTAACCTCCCACACAATCCCTGATCAATTCCGACCTTTTGGTTCCCCTACCATCGCAGGACTCCACAGGCGAAACGATCGAACAGGGATCGGCGTCTATCGCCGAAGGATACAACTACTGCACATCCAACTGGGAAGCGGAAGAGAGCCTGCTTACAACTCCCTCGCGCCGCCTCCGTTCGCGCCACTTGCAAACCAGCGACTATACCGCGCTGGTGATCCCAGATGCCATCCCCACCGATGTGGAAGAGGTAAGTACGCACATTTCGGGTGATACTTGACCAAGCGCATTGCATACCTCAGCTTCAACGCTGCTTGGAAGTGAAATGGCTTGTTGTCCTGAACTTGGTCCCGAACACGGTCGATGGATCAGCTGTCGTCTAGCTGTTCCATGCTCATTTTCAGCGAGTATTATTCGCTCTTCGCATCACATAAATTCCGATGGATATTTATTTTAGGCTTTCCCTATCGTCCGTTACTGTCGCCCCTCACCGGTACCTCTTCCCCCCCCCTACCCCCCGGTTCCGAGTAGCTGTGTGGCGATAACACCGAGTGCATCTTCGATGCGATCGTCGCCGGCCTGGACGTGGGAGCTGCCACCCTTGAAGCCGCCGAGGAGTTCCACACGGAAGTTCAAGCGGCTGGGGGTGGTGAGCTCAGATATTGCTTTTCCGCCATGATAGGCCGCCGGCATGGACGTACACTGTCCCATCTCACATGCCTCGTCCTTGTTCCTGCGCCATTATCATCCGTTTCTCTCCCGCCCCCCCACCTCTCTCTCTCTCTCCCCCACCTCTGTCTCCCCCCCCCCCCCCAAAAAAACCCCCAAAATTTTATCTATCCCCAAAAAAATTTTACAACCCTCCTCCCTCCCAAAAAAAACCCCTATACAAATCTCCAATATACACCAAAAACAAAAAAAAAATACCCCCCCCCCCCCCCCTTTTTTCTTCTCT